TTTATTTATTTATATTTTCTGGTAATAGTTTTTTTTTTTTTTTTATAACTTTTGTTATTCTTAAGGGCTCATTTAGTATGGTAGTTTGGGTATAGCAATTAGTGGTTTTTACCTAAACTATTAAGAATAGATGTTTAATAAATTTATTTATTTCAAAATTCCTATAAATTAAATGTTTGATAAAATTTTTTATTTAAAAATTTGGAATTAATAGATAACGATTAGGGTTTAAGCTACTAATGAATTAGAAAAACTATCTAAAGTGGTTTTTTATATTAAACTATTAGCTGATTGGAATTTTTTAATTTTATGAACAAATTTATCCATTTTAATTTTTTAATTTTCTGTTATAGTTTGCAATTAGTACTTATCTAATTAGCTTCAATTTTGTTTTCTTGTCTTTAATAATATTAAGTGATTATTATATTTTTATTTTATATTAATTTATCATAAAAAATATATTAGTTTAATAAACTTTATTTAAAAGTAATATAATTTTTTGTTAAAAATAAAAATTAGTACGTGTTTACACTATTATAATTTATTTTATTTTATTTATTTTTTGTTATTACTTTTATAAAATTAATAATTTTAATCATAAAAAATATAAAAAAAATAAACTTAATTATTTTTAAACATATACTTATTAGTTATTTATTATTGAATAACAACTACTAATTATTATATAATCAAATAATTTTATTAATCGAATTTACTGTATATTATCTACTATCTATTTTTTTCTATTCATTGCTCATCTTCCACTAATCATTATCCACTACCAGCTACTGTTATTTACTATCTACTAGTTATTTACTGTATAGTAAATTTTAATTACTATACCAAATATGTCCTAAAACTAATAGGAACAAAAAAAAAAATAAAGTTGCAGCTATCTCCAGCTTACAAGTGATAATAATTGGGCAGGCTCTTTTCTTCCCCAAAAGGGATCCAGCAAAAGTCGCTCATTTCTCCATCCCAAACCGTGAGTCCATGACAAAAGAAACATAACCCTTTTGGCCCTTGTTGGATGTTCATACCAAGTCCGTTTGTCTTTTGTTCTTTTCTTGTAGTGTAGGGTTTGTCAAATGTCAATCTGCATCATTGCTTTCCAGCTTCAAAATATTACAAATATTAATACAAAGAGTTTATTAACAAAAATTATTTTGTAATTTAAATCATATTAAATTTTAAAATATAAATTTTAAAATAAAAGATGGACTTGTTGATATTGAATCCTTTTTATTTTCCCATCCAAATCTTCTTATGGTAAGAAGTTTTAATTTTAACGTGTGTTAATTTTGAATGATTAACTTAAAAATTGAAACCCTACAATCTTAGCGTCGTGAGTTAGATTCTTGTAAGTTACTAATTTTTTCAAGTTATTTCCTAAATTATGTATTAGTTTATCTATTATAGTATAGTCTTTAAATACATACATTTTTTACTTAAACTCAATACTAATTTTTCTTTTAAAATAGCTAATTTTTTAATTTATGTTTTGAACAAAATTTTCAATTTATAAAAAAA